TATGTCAGCCACTTCCTGTTTGTGCAGCTCCCCGATGCCCACAGCTGGGGTACCCAGCACGTCTCTGCCGGCATACTTGAGCTGAGGGGGGAAAGAGAAGACGTTTTTTGTTTGTTGTTTTTTTGTTTTTTTTTGTTTTTCAGAGGCCCTTGAGGTCTTCTGGTTTGAAAGGGATTTCTAAAAATGTTGGAATATTGTGCCTTGTTTCGCTGGTGAATGAATGGAAATCAGTGAGGTTTTTCAAATTTGCAAAAAATGTTTCTGAAGTTCGTTTTGTTTGTGTAGCTGAAACATAAGATAGAGCAAATGTTTTTTGTTTAAGGCTAACGTAATTCAAAATTTACCAGCTTAAAAAGAAATGTTTGTTGCAATAACATGCACATAATTAAGAACTAGTTTTACTTGTCTATTCCATTTCTACTTCTCCTCCATCGGTGCCGAACTGATAAATAAGACAAAGCAATTGCCATGTATTTTATCAAGGAAGAGAAATGGAAACCAGTCTTTGTACTCAGGAATTATTACTGGAGTTTCGATTTCATGCCTGACATTATTGTATTGTCTTATTGTCGTTCTTGTGACGCCAGTAAAATCTTTCCACCTGGTGAAATGCCCAGACAAGGGGAGCAAACTGCGTATGTTGTAACCACGGTGGCTTGCATCAAAGACATGCCAACAGCTCAGCGTCTATTATGTACCGGGCTGGCTGGCCGGGAAGTGATTCAAGTTTTCAGTCTGTGGTTACGGCATTGTTGTACTGTTTTGATAAAGTCTTAGAGGGTCGTGAGGTGAGAACCGGGGTCTTGGCCTGTTTTTGTTTATTCTTTGTTTGTTTTGGTTGTTTTGTTTTCTTAGAGAACGGAAAGGCCTTCTAGTTTAAAAGGGATTTCTAAAAATGTGTGAATATTGTGCCTTGTTTTGTTGGTGTTCAAATTTGCAAAAGATATTCCTGAAGTTCGTTTTGTTTGTCTTACAGAAATGTAAGATAGAACAATTTTTTTTTAGGACTAACATACTTCTGAATTTACCAGTTTGAAAGGAATTGTTTGTTGCAATAACACAGACATAATTAAGAACTAGTTTTACATGACTAATAATATATAACAATAATATCTAACATTTATATAGCGCATTTTAAAAAAAGTAGCTCAATGCGCTTTACTTTGGAATACCCATTTTTCAAAACCTTTCTTACTACTTCCTCTCTTCTCATGCAATATATATTTATGCACACACACACACACACACACAAACACACACACACACATGCACACACACACACACACACACACACACACACACACACACTCACACACGGACTATTTTCATTCCGACATAGGCACAGAACAACTATAATTTAAAAAATAATGTTAAAAGCTTATGAAGTATAGGCCTGTTTCTTTATACTTCATCTCTATGGGTGCTTGAGTTAAACATGAGATTTACTACTTTACTTTACTTTTCCGATCCAGCCGCTATCGGGGTTCAAGCCCTTTGGCATGGGCATGGGACACATGAGATAAGAATGTAATTATTGGTGATTGGCGGGTGCTCTGGTGTGGTTTGCTTCTTTCCTATCAAACATCTATAGTCTTTCTCTCCCCTCCTTCTTTTTTGTGTTTGTTACTCTCTTGTAACACCTCTATTCTTAGGTACTTGTATTACCTTATTATGTTGCAAGTGCTGTAAAGCTCTTACTAAAACTTTCTAAAAACATAATAAATAAAAAGATGGAACCCCCCCCCCCCCACTTCTTTATACATGAGAAATTATTAATGAAGTTTGGACGGTACATCTGATGCAAGTTTTCAGTCTGTGGTTACGGCATTTTGCGTTCTATTGACAATGCCTTAGAGGGTCGGGAGGTGAGAGCCGGGGTCTAGGCTTGCTTTTGTTTATTGATGTTTTTTTTTTTATAGACGCTTGAAGCCTTCTAGGTTTAAAGTGATTTCTAAAGATATAGGAACATGCATTGTTTCGTGGGTGAATGAATGGCAGCAAGTCAAGTGTCTCAAATTTGCAAAGCATATTTTGAAAGTTTGTTTTGTTTGTCAAACTGAAATGAACGCGAACACTTGGTTTTGCAAAAAGCTTCTAGATTTACCGGTGTGACGAAAATTTTGTTTGTTACAATACCATACAAATATTTCGGAACTAGTTTTGTATACCCCTATTATGATTTAAACATTTTGTTTGTCCCTATTGTAACGGCAAGATGCTTCACCGCCTCGAGCAATAACCGAGGTCGATTTCCGTGTGGAGATAATTGTTATAGAGTAAACTTCATGGTCTTTTTTTTGGTCTGTTGTTTTCGGAGCTAAGGTTCGAGTTTCAGCTCGGTCCGACGTTTTGTCCTTGGGAAAGGAACTTTACACGAATCTCTCAAGTGTCTCAGTCCTTTCAGAGATGGGCGTTAAACTTGGAGGTCCTGCCTCTTAAATAACCTACTAGTGTTGACAGGGGCGTTAAACCTGTACAATTTCAACATTTTAAAATCTGGCCCTAGCCCATTTGGATCTGAAAGGGAGGGTCGAGGCCCGCGTCCCAAATGATTTATATTGTGCCAATGGGGTGTAAAAAGGCCTTCCATACCCTCCCCCCCTCCACGAAAAAAACACAAAATGATCTGTATTGCGTTAATGATGCTTGTGAAAACATTTTCATCTGTAATTTACCTTTTAAAAAATCGATGCCTGTTTAGCTGCAGGTCTTCCAGCACACAGAGTCATCATCATCATCGTAGCCTTTCTCACCCTGCACGAGGGTATAGGCCACGAACAAACACCTTCCACCTTTCTCTATTCTGGGATAGCCCCTTGAAGTTATTCCATGTCTTCCCACTTTTCTGTACATTTATTTCTGTATTCTTCTCCAGGTTCCCTGCGGTCTGCCCCTTGATCTTTTACCCTGTGGATTCCAATCCAACACATGGAGTAGCTAACTATTGTTAAAAGTGGGTGGTTGGCGAGTGCTCTGGTGTGGTTTGTTTCTTCTTTCCCTATCAAATATATATCGTCCTTATCTCCCCTTCTTCTTTTTTATGTTTGTTACTCTCTTGAAACACTTCTAATCTTCTGGCGTTCATATGACCGTAAAACCTCTACCAAAACTTTTAAAAAAGGCTAACGATAATCCGCCTTTTGATATACGATCAAAGTACGATCGGTAGCTACTCCATGGTCCTACGGTCCACCGATCCATTGACTGCAGGCTACGGGCCCGGGTCTATAGCAGGGGATAGATCCCCGAAACCTCACTCACTGTGTTCTGCTTACAAATGATCTGTTTGCTTTTAGGGGAACTCTTATAAGGACCAATATCTCTGTTTCTCTCTCTCTCTCTCTCTCTCTCTCTCTCTCTCTCTCTCTCTCTCTCTCT